AGACGAAGGCCATGCCCAAGAAGAAGCCGGAGGCAGAAGCTGCAAGTATCCTGGGCTGCAAGTAGTTATCATCAGGTCTGAAGGAGTCAATCTTCAGCCTGAATTTCCCTGCTTATGTCCTGGCCAGTAGGTCTGAATGAAGCTCACTCAGCTCAGCTGCATTTTTGTCCCTTGTCGTTAGTGCTTCGGGTTTGGGCAACAAGGTGCAGAGGCCGCCGAGGCACCATCATCCGCGGACAGTATCTGGACCGCAAGTGGACATGTCAAGAAGCAACACAGGAGGACCTGCACAGTGGCACAAGTTCTGCAAAAGCATTTGTGCACTCAGGCAGGCGGGTCCCGGCTTCGATCTGGACTGCGGTGCCCGAGCCGCCGTATCCGCCTCCCGGAGTCTGGCCTCAAAAGAGTTAATCATTCGAGTCGAGCATGGTTTCCTTTCCTGTCTCTGTGTTGTCAGAAGATGCATGCATAGTCTTCGTGTATGTGTGTTTTGAGGCTACAAGGCAGGCCATGCTGATGGTGGTGGGCGGGCATCTTCGGCTGGAATCTGGACCGCAAGTGGACATTTCAACACGCAAAACAGGTAGACCTGAAGAAACCATGCACTGAGGCGGCAGCCGGAGGCCTCCCGAACCCAAGGAGCCGCCAGCACGAGTCTGGCCTCAATTCAGTCCATGTGAACAGGTTTTACGTTTGCGCATGTGTGGTTCGGAAGCCATGACAGTCCTCCTACAACTAAGGGAAGCGACAGGTGAGCTCTTCCTGGGAGACTGCATCCAGAGACTTGCCTCAACAGTGGTTCTGTTCGTGCACGTGTGCTTCAGAAACCATCACACTCCTACAATAAAGGCCAGCGGTCAAGATCCAGTGTGGATGAGCCCGGAGACTTGCCTGAACAGAGTTTATTTTCGCGCAAGCATGTTTCAGAAGCCATAACACCTCCTAGTTAACTAAGGCCAGCCAGAGGGAAGCAGCAGTTCGTGGCAGAGCCCTTCGGCAAGATTTTTGCACAAGCATGTTTCAGAGGCCATGACACCTCCTCCTGTCCTAGTTAGCTAAGGTCAGCCAGAGGCAAGCTCCAGCTCGTGGCAGAGCCCTTCGGCATGATTTGATTTTCGCGCACGCGTGTTTCAGAAGCCATAACACCTCCTAGTTAACTAAGGCCAGCCACAGGGAAGCGGCAGTTCGTGGCAGAGCCCTTCGGCATGACTTCATTGTACTTTTTAGGCGCCGCCTACTGAGTGGCACACATTGAGTTGCGGTGTCCCTGGCAAGGTTGGCAGACTCCGAGACTCTCCCAGCAAGATCGCCGAGACCCGTCTGCAACAAAGCATTGCCTTCTCTGTTTGGATTAAACCCTATACACCCTCGAAACCCAGCTGGGAAGCGGGGAGCTCAGGTCAACTGGGCGGAAGGCTGTCTTGGCTGTTGCGGCACTGCAAGCGCATCTCCAAGAACGGGGGCTGGTACCCGTCCTCGGACGCCGCTGGCTTCCTCAGAGTCCAGGCATCCGTTCTCAAGGCAAGGTAGGGGTACTCTCTTGCACGCGCGGAATCCGCCCAGTGCATCATGGATCGCTGAGATGTGTCCTGATTCCCTGTTGAAAGGATTTGGTGCTGAACGACGAGAAGCGCCGCTACCAGTTCAGCGAGGACCGCTTGCTGCATTTTGGGCAACTTAAACCCTAAACCATAAACCATGGCACTGCCGGAGTACCTTACTCAATCATTCCATCGGCTGCTTCCGTAACAGGGCGGTCAGAGGCTGCGAGCAGTCCAAGGGCATTCCGTGAAGGTTCAGCTGGCAAAAAAACTTTGTGGGCTCACCCTGGACCCTGACCCTACGGCCCTACGGCTGCATCTACATTACCCTGCCAGGGCCTGGACGTGTCCACTTTGCTCACGCCTGTCAGCGTCCAGGAGGCCCCTATGGCACCCCGGCACAATGACACACAATGACATGTCCTGGCTACCAGGACTAGGACCATTCGGAAGGCGGTGCACTAGCAGTCTTTCTGAGGTGCTGTTCCACGGCACTTTCCAGGAGCATGCCCAGAGCATCTATCGGTGTCTAGGCACAAAATTAAGGACAGACGTGTCTTTTTGTTCTGCTGCTGGTAGATTTGCTGACCTTTGCATGCTACGGTTGCTGTTCTTGCTCAGGCAGGGCCTGCTTCGTGGCAACCGGACCCATGTGCACCTGGTCCGGTACCAGGATCGGGAGGCTCTGGGCAGACGAAAGGCGACGCTGTGGGTGCGTGTGGCAGCACGACAGGCAGTCTCCGTTTCTCAGCCACGTTGGAACCAGCTTTTGTAAATTTGCGACTTAGGGTTTAGGCCAGTATTTAGGGTTTAGGGTTTCAGGACGATCTGAATAAAACCTAGGAGGGCCTGCAGCTGTGGCGGGCTGCAAACTCCGTGTTCCTCATGGAGGCCGTGCCACCGCAGTACATCTACCGCCTGAAGTGAAAAAAAGGCGTGTTGCCAGGTCTGTACGCATTTGCTGCACGCTGGACATTCTGCTGCAAAACCACCGTTGCAAAGGTCCGAACGAAAGTCTACAAGCAACTGCCTGTGACTCATGTTGCTGCACTGTCACACCCTCTGATTGCACATTGGGCATGTGTTCTTGCAAGTTCTTGCGCTCTCTCAGTGCTTCATGTTGGGTGGTGGCAGGCCTTGAACACAGTCTCTGTATCTTCTCTTCACTGAGGCAGAGACCTGGCTTCAGCCATCAGCTCGAAATTGCCACGGGAGGCCAGGGCCTGACACAGTCATGGAGGCTTGTCATTGGGACTGTCCGTGTGTATGTATTTTGTTCGTAGATGGTACCCGGCACAGGGCATACTACGTAAGGGTTTATAGGGTTTAGGGTTTTCTGTAAATATAAGGAAGGACCGATGGAAACTCCCAAAACCGTCCATTTAAAAAAAAACCCTAAACCCTCGTAAACCCCCAAACCACCGATGGAAACCCACCAGAACCGTCCATTTAATCGACCCCTCCGACCCCCAAACCCCCAAACGACCGATGCAAAACCCGCAAAACCCCCCTAAACCACCCAAAGAACCGTCCAAAAACCCGCAAAACCCCTGCAAAACCACCCAAAACCGTCCAAAAACCGTCCATTTAACTGACCCCTCCCCTGCAAAACCCCCCAAAACCGTCCAAAAACCGTCCATTTAACCGACCCCTCCTTCGGTTAAATGGAATTTCTGTGGGGTTGTGAGCGTCGAGGAGGCCCCTATGGCACCCCGGCACAATGACATGTCCTGGCTACCAGGACTAGGACCCTCCTTTAGAATTTCTGTGGGGTTTTCTGTGGGGTTTGCCGGAGTGTTCCACCTGAGTTTTCTGGGTCTTTTCCTTTTCCGGGTCTCAACCGAGGTAGCCTGGGGGTTATATACACAAACCTATATCCTGCCTCTATCCTCCGAACCATGTGCTTATGTCTCTTCCAGCCGAAATCCTTGGGAAATTCCAATACGCAACCGGTTGCGAATTGGGTTTTCTTAAGTAATCGTAGCATTTACGTTGTGCATACACATACGTCTATCCTCCCAACCATGTGCATATGTCTCTCTTCCAGCCGAAATCCTTGGGAAATTCCAATACGCAACCGGTTGCGAATTGGGTTTTCTTAGGTAATCCTAGCATTTCCCTAGTACATATACATACCTATATCCGCCCAACCATGTGCATATATCTCTTTCACCCCAAATCCTTGGGAAATTCCAATACGCAACCGGTTGCGCCCTCCTTCGGTTAAATGGAATTTCTGTGGGGTTGTGAGCGTCGAGGAGGCCCCTATGGCACCCCGGCACAATGACATGTCCTGGCTACCAGGACTAGGACCCTCCTTTAGAATTTCTGTGGGGTTTTCTGTGGGGTTTGCCGGAGTGTTCCACCTGAGTTTTCTGGGTCTTTTCCTTTTCCGGGTCTCAACCGAGGTAGCCTGGGGGTTATATACACAAACCTATATCCTGCCTCTATCCTCCGAACCATGTGCTTATGTCTCTTCCAGCCGAAATCCTTGGGAAATTCCAATACGCAACCGGTTGCGAATTGGGTTTTCTTAGGTAATCGTAGCATTTACGTTGTGCATACACATACGTCTATCCTCCCAACCATGTGCATATGTCTCTCTTCCAGCCGAAATCCTTGGGAAATTCCAATACGCAACCGGTTGCGAATTGGGTTTTCTTAGGTAATCCTAGCATTTCCCTAGTACATATACATACCTATATCCGCCCAACCATGTGCATATATCTCTTTCACCCCAAATCCTTGGGAAATTCCAATACGCAACCGGTTGCGAATTGGGTTTTCTTAGGTAATCGTAGCATTTACGTTGTACATACACATACCTCTATCCTCCCAACCATGTGCATATGTCTCTCTTCCAGCCCAAATCCTTGGGAAATTCCAATACGCAACCGGTTGCGAATTGGGTTTTCTTAGGTAATCCTAGCATTTCCCTAGTACATTTACATACCTATATCCGCCCAACCATGCGCATATGTCTCTCTTCCACCCCAAATCCTTGGGAAACTCCAATACGCAACCGGTTGCGAATTGGGTTTTCTTAGGTAATCGCAGCAATTCCTTAGCACATCTGCGTGCCTATATCCTCCCAGCCATGTGCATAGATCTCTCCCATATACATACCGATATCCTCCCAACCATGTGTATATATCTCTTTCACCCCAAATCCTTTGGAAATTCCAATACGTAACCGGTTGCATATTCTGACAAGCCTTGCATTTCTTGTTGCTGTCATGCCGTAAGTCCTGGAGCCCGGTTCGCTTTTCAGAAGTGCAGCTTCATTGAGCCGTTGTGCATGTCATAGCTGCTCAGGTCCGGGTGCTGGACGAGGCCTCCCCCTGCCTTGCTCGTAGGATGGCATGCGGTCCTGCCGCTTTGCCTGCTGCGTGATAGTGCTCGAACAGCATGTGGACCAGCCGGGCACAAGCAGTTTTGCAAGACCTCTCCTGCTTCGCCATGATTTTGGGCCAGCAGTTCTGGCGTGAACTGGAAGAGGCCCAGGACGCGGGAGTGAGGGCATGCCACTCGTGGCAAGTGGACAGCACGAGCCAAACAGCATGGCACCGTCGCTACCATCAGTGGTATGACAACCCCACCTTGGAAACCGACCGAGCTAACTACTGCTTTTATGTCGGGAACTGGTACCTCACGCTGACGCTGCACCTAACTTGTGGACCATGGGCAAGCATGCAAGGGTACGGGAAGCCACTTGGCCCGGAAAGTAAAATCCTGTTTCCTGAGCGTTAGCAAGGGATGATTTTTCGGGTGTTTCTTTGCCGCCCAGGGACGTGAGCGTCAGCGGCGATGCTTTCGAAGGGCTGCTGGCGTTCTTGTCGCTGTCCGAGACCCGCTCGTCGGAGGTGGGCGAGGAGAGGTCTTCCACCTTCAAGTTACTGTGGGGGCTCCACCTCGCGATTTACGATGCCATGGAGGAGCTCAAAACCAGAGACCCATCTGCGTGGCTAGCTTCCTCGAGCAAGATGAGCATCGATGAGTTTCGCGTGCTGATGTGGAGCCACGGTCTAGCTTGAGGAGCGGCCTTTGTACAGAGGCCTGCCTGCACTCGGGGCCTATAGTCGTCCGTTTGTCACCCAGAGCACCATGTACTTTAAAGACATGTTTAAGTGCACTTAGCTTAGCTATATGGTCCTTCGTGCTAGCTGGCAGAATTGGCTCCTTCTAGTGAGCCTGGAATCCCGGGCTGGCACGCTTGCATACGCAATCGCCAGCTGGAGGCCTGAATGCGGCTGAATTGTACAAAAACCGGTGACAGCTGCTCTGTGCGAAACCAGCTCTCCGCCAAGGTTGCTTTCAGTGCTGTGTGTGCGCCTGCATGTTCTGCGAGCCCGCCCTGGACGCAGGTCAGTTCGACGTCTTCCAGGTTCGTGCGGTCTGCAGTCTAGAACCCTAATCCCTACCAGGCTGCCCTGCATTCGCCCTGCGTGTCGTGGACGGGGATGGGGAAGGCTTGCAGCTCCGGGCCCGCCCGGAGGCTTTTTATTTATATAATTTTTAAATGCGTCCATGCTTGGCAGGTCCTGGGGATCGAAGCTAGGCTTGAAGCTCCAGGCGGGCCCGGAAGCTTTTTATTTATATAAATAAATAAACGCGTCCATGCCTGGCAGGTCCTGGGGATCGAAGCTAGGCTTGAAGCTCCGGGCGGGCCCGGAGGCTTTTTATTTATATAAATAAAGAGATGCCCGATGCATTAACTGACCCCTCCACCCTAAACCCCGAAACCCTAAACACGATGCAGCTCAAAGCCGTCCGGCTCATTAGACTTAGACGCGATGCCACAATCACCCAGACATGCGGCCTTTTTGGGAAGGCAGCATACCCATTACTATATCATCCCAACCATGTACATATATCTGTAGCCACAGACATAGATCCTTCGAGGGAAACAGAACGATGGCTGGCTGGACATGCATGAAGTGCCGCTCTGCGATTACCTACCGCCGCGGAAGGGTCTGCCAAAAATGCGATCCAAGCGGTGGCAGGGGAGCACACAACCTTTCGCCCAAGATGAAGCCCGTGCGAAGATTGCATAAAAAGACAGCGGTTTCGGCGGATGGCCTCGTCAAAGCAGAACCTGCAGCTGCAGCGCCCAAGTCTGGGCCGGCACCGCGAGCAGCGGAGTTCAGGAACATGCTGGAGCGTGAGACAGCGACGCTTCGGGATGTGCTTCAGGATGCTGGTGCTGATGCTTTTGCTGCCAGCCACGGCATATTGGCCCAGGCGCACCATATTATCACGATTCTGGATGAGGCAGGACACACCCTTCCAGAAACGACCGCCGAAGCTACATTGGCCCTGCTGTTCTCATCTATGGCCCTGTCGGTGCACTATGTGGATGACGAACTGAAGTTTCGCAGGAAGTATTTGAGTGCAAAAAAGCTGGTGGCTGCTCATGTCCGGAGAGCGGAGTGCATATGGGTGAATGCCATTGCGAATTCCGACAGCTCTAGATCTTGCCTTCTCAAATGACAGAGGCTTGCCTGGTGCACTTGTGGGAAAGAGACAATGCTTCATGCTTCCAATCGCCCATCCACCTCCCAGGGTTATTCCCCGAAACTTTCCTTTACAGTATCTCGACAGATCCCAAAATCTGAATCCCGTACCCGCTCTTTGGAAAGTAATTCTTGATCCTAGCTGAAAACTGCGACCCTTCTGCAGGTACCCCAACGACGAGGCATTGACCCCTCGCAGCAGTGCAGGGAGGCTCAGGGACTGCCTGTGCCATCATGGTCATCATCACCAGCACGGCAAGTAGTACTAGTAGTAGTAGTAGTAGTAGTAGTAGTAGTAGTAGTAGTAGTAGTAGTAGTAGTAGTAGTAGTGTAGTAGTAGTAGTAGTAGTAGTAGTAGTAGTAGGGTTGCCCCCCCCGGTGCGACGCCCAAACCTCTCATTTTTGGGACTTGCTGTGGTCGAAAATGCTGTGTTTTACAGCACTTTTTTCCGCAGTTTTCGAAAGTGACAACTGTCGCTGGTTTCGTGTGTATATTTATCATATTTTCTAACATTGTTCATCAATGTCGCACACGAAAATGCTGGTATTTACAGCATTTGTCTTTGCGAATTTCATGATTTTTTACTGTTTTTGGGTGTCTCGATTTTCGTGCCCAAAACCTAGCGATCAGAATCAAGGTTTTTTGGGCCTCATTTTGATCATGATTTTCATTCAAATCGTTTGTTTGGAGAGCATCCATGTCGAAAACCTAATGACGTCCATGTTCTAGCGCATTTGGGTTTGGAGAGCATCCATGTCGAAAACCTAATGACGTCCATGGTCTAGCGCATTTGGGTTTGTAGAGCATGCATGTCGAAAACCTAATGACGTCCATGTTCTAGCGCATTTGGGTTTGGAGAGCATCCATGTCGAAAACCTAATGACGTCCATGGTCTAGCGCATTTGGGTTTGTAGAGCATCCATGTCGAAAACCTAATGACGTCCATGGTCTAGCGCATTTGGGTTTGAGAGCATCCATGTCGAAAACCTAATGACGTCCATGGTCTAGCGCATTTGGGTTTGTAGAGCATCCATGTCGAAAACCTAATGACGTCCATGGTCTAGCGCATTTGGGTTTGGAGAGCATCCATGTCGAAAACCTAATGACGTCCATGGTCTAGCGCATTTGGGTTTGGAGAGCATCCATGTCGAAAACCTAATGACGTCCATGGTCTAGCGCATTTGGGTTTGAGAGCATCCATGTCGAAAACCTAATGACGTCCATGGTCTAGCGCATTTGGGTTTGGAGAGCATCCATGTCGAAAACCTAATGACGTCCATGGTCTAGCGCATTTGGGTTTGGAGAGCATGCATGTCCAAAACCTAATGACGTCCATGGTCTAGCGCATTTGGGTTTGGAGAGCATGCATGTCCAAAACCTAATGACGTCCATGGTCTAGCGCATTTGGGTTTGGAGAGCATCCATGTCCAAAACCTTTCGAAATGTTGCTTCTTTGCATCGCACCGAGCGGGGGTGGTACTTTCCACTGATTTCTTACAGCTTACTCTGTGGTTCACTAGTTCAATAACGAGTAGAGGCGCAAGAACCGCACATCAGCAGCATGCAGCATTATCATGTTCATCATCACTTTCGTCAGCACCATCTCGAATAGCATCATCATGAACATCATCATTATTATCATCATGATCATCTTCATCTTTAGGTTAGGCCGGATTTCTTTGAGCCTGTGTTCGGGTTGTCTCACCATCAACCCTCCCTGTAGAACACAGGCTCAAAGGAATCATCATTCTCATCACGCGCATCAGCATGAGCGTCATCCTTAGCATCATCATCCGCCTGCTTGCCTTGTTCAGACTGAAGGCCTTCTCAGAATGTTTTTCGTCTTTGGGGTCTGGGTTGTAGGGACAAGTTTAGACTCAAGGCCTTCTGAGAATGCTTTTTGGCTTTGGGGTTTGGGTTGTAGGGCCAAAGTTTACACTAAGAAGCCTGAACCTGTCTTTTATTGGAAATGGCAGCTCTAACTACAAAGTCGCAGGGTCGCAGACTGCACTTGGGACTTAGAGCCTCGGGTCTGCTAGGTCTTACAGGGTTTGCGGAACTACTCTAGCAGGTTTCGGGGTTTAGGGTGTTGCAGACGCCAGGACATGGAAGCAGGAGCCTTACTTAGGTCACGACTATAGGGAGAAGTTCGACGATCTCCCAAACATCGCAATGGTCGCTCGCAAAGAGACTTCTTTGGCAGGGGCGCGGACACTCTAGACGTGACTGCCTGCAGGTTCTTGCAGTAAGCCTGCGAGGATTAGATCTACCAAAACTGCGAATGCCTGGAAGGCTTCCGCATTGCGAGCACCGGCACTGTACACGATCTTGTTCTGCTCCATGTGAGCCAAGACTATCTTCATCTCCGAGAGCATGGCTTCTGCAGATTGTCTCCATGTAGCAGCGTCAAACTCCAGAGCCACTTGCAGTCGAAAGGACATGGCACCAGTCTGCTGCAACGGGGAGGGGACGCCCGCCCGCACATGCTCAGCCCACCACCACCTTCTTTCCAAGATGGAAGTCGTGATGTCTGTCACGGTCTCTAAAACATCAAGGTCCTGCCAAGCTCTGCAAAACACATGTTTGGAATGGCACAAGAGGCTTTCGGATTTTTTCAAAATGTCTTGAAGAAACCGACTGCCTGCAGGCTCTGTCCAGGCCCCACGCGACGCTTGAGCATGTAAAGACCCAGCGCCACGCGGTGGATCAGCACCAAGTAGTATTCACGCCACTGCTGCAACCCTTGCGCATGGTAGTGCTTGCAGGCGGCCACCTGCTACAACTCTGCTTTCGCTTTAACCCCAAATCTTAAACACCATTTAAGACTGCAGCCCTAAACCCCTGAATGTGGAGCGAATACACCATCTAAGGCTTAAGCGCATGGGGTCCTGCGACAACTACTTCGGGGGTGTACTAAGCAAGCAAAGCTCCCGGGAAATGGAGGCCTGCAACGCTGCCACAGCATTCTGCACGTTAACGACAGGAGCCATAGTGCAAGGCCTCTCTAAGAAAATTTCCGGAGCCCAGAGACACTGCGAATAACTGTCTTCATGAAGTCCCATGCGTGCACGACAACAGTGTCTACAGCACCTCAGATTGTTTGCAAGGGCTCCGCTTGAGATGCTGCGACTCACACCTTTTGCCCCCCTTTACTGAACCTCGGCCCCACGTCGTAGAGCTACGCGAATGTCCCGGTTGACATCCGCGTGTCTCTGCCGAATGCTGCTTGGCAGCCTGGCCATATCACCCCTGTACAATTGATACTGCCAGCACTCCCGCTTCCCCGTGGTGCTGTACAAAAACCATTTCTTACAACGCAAAACTACTTTCCCCGCGAGTGGTCCTGTGAAGTGCACGTAGGGCACGTAGGCAGCGTCGCATTTTGTGCAGCGACCATACTTCGTGATCCGTGCGGCTGCTCTCATGCGTACGACACGATCCAGTTCGCGCCACTCGAAGACACGTGGGGTGCTCGGCACGGGCTGCCATGCATCCTGGCCCAATGACCGCATCACGGAAACTGGGTTTAGGTTTCAGGATGGAGGGTCTTGCTGTCTGCTTTGAAAAAAAAAAAAGGTGTCCTGAATGTACGACATCTCCTCTTCCACTTGCAGACGAACTTCCAGAGGCATCGGACAAGCCCTGCTGCTCCGGCTAGAGGAAGTGCTGCTCCACGCATCCTTCGCAACAGAAGTGGTGTCTTCAAAGAAATGGGTTTAGGGTTCCGGTTTCACGCATTAAGGTTTCGAATATGTCCTGCAGGTAGGACATCTCTTCATCCAGCTGCTGCCGCACTTCCGAAGGCATGAGACACGCCCTCTGAGCAGGGTATGCGTCTTCGCACGGAAAGGCATCCTGACCAAGCTTAGTTGCTTCACGGTACGGGGTTTAGGGTTTAGGCATTAGGCTTTAGGGCTTTTTTCTTCAAGTTTTTATTCAAGTATCCCACAACAGCCCTGAAACCCTGAAGCCGAAAACACCCTCACGCCAGGCCGGAAATCTATCCCAATCCCTATAACCACACAACCTCCCTCAACTAGGGACTAGGGTAACCCCCAAAAGGGTTAGGAGAAAACAGCAGGGTTCAGGGTTTAGGCTTGCGGCTTTAGGTTTTATTTAGGCTTGGGGTTTGAGGCTTTAGAGAAGCGGGTGAAGGGTTCAGGGTTCGGGCATTATCATAGGGTTTAGGAGATGTCCTGCAGGTAGGACATCTCTTCATCCAGCTGCTCCCGCACTTCCGATGGCATGAGACACGCCCTCTGAGCACGGCATGCGTTTTCGCACGGAAAGGCATCCTGACCAAGCTTAGTTGTTTCACGCGGTTTAGGCACTAGGCTTTAGGGCTTTTCTCTGCAGGGCCTAACTCAAGTATCCCAGAACAGCCCTGAAACCCTGAAGCCGAAAACACCCTCACGCCAGGCCGGAAATCAAACCCAAATCCTATAACCACACAACCTCCCTCAACTAGGGACTAGGGTGACCCCAAAGCGGGTGAGGAAAAAACAGCAACCAAGTTGTAAACCCTTGCACGGCGGGGCCATGCATAGGCTTTGGGATTGATGGTTTCGGGTTTACCCTTCTAGACATGCGACCAGGTTCAGCTGTCCTCCAAGCACGAAGCTTCTTCCTCCAGCTGCTCAACTAGTTCCTCTGGCATGCTTGAAGAGCTCCTGTTCGAAAGCCTGCTCTCGGACAGCTGAAACGCGCACCAGCCTTGGAGAAGACGGTGAGGATTCGAAAAATCACCACACGTTAAATTACTCTACAGGGACACAAACTTCTAACGGCGGCGGCCGACAAAACAACACTTGCTCTTCACACAGACACTTTTGTATTTGCGTGTTCGAGGAGAGTCCTTCAAGCACAGCGGACTCGGCGGCCCGCTGTCCAGAAACATGCCCGTGAACAAAACCACATCGCGATCATCCACGGAGGACATGATGCTGGAAACTCCGGGAACCTCTACTGCGCAGGTCTCATGAAGCAGAAATGCACAACAGTGACAGCATCTGTCAAATGACCTGCCTGTGCGCACTGTCACTTGCAGGAAACTTGTAGCAGCACTCCAATCCTGCGACCCTGCATGCGAGCTGATTCTTTTCCTATTCTTCCTCTTCTCAGATGTCGCAATCGCGAGCTGTACCTTTGCCGGACCACTCAGTTTGGAGTAAGTCCTGAAACCCTTTCTGCTCTGCCGGAGAGAAAGCAATGCATCTTCCCAGGACTTGTCCTATTTTAAACAAGCACATGACTCCTTTCGGTCTGTACCTCATACTCATGCATTGCCTTCTCCCCGCAGATTTCTATCCCTGCCCCTGCGAGTCGCGATTCCCTAAAAACTGCAGTTAAAGAAGCTACGTAAACCTGAAGCTCTGGCTCTATCACTGCCCCTGCGAATCGCGATTCCCTAAGAACCGCAGTAAAAAAAACTACGTAGACCTGGAGCTCTGGCTCTCCAGCTGTGTGCATTGCTGCAGCCATTCGTCCGCCTGCTTCCACACAAGCCGCGGATCGTCCTTGTCCACAAAAAACTCGTAGAATATCTGGAATGCCTTGCCCAAGTTTTCAAGACCGGGAGCCCTGCGAAAGTATGCTGCCGATAGCACGGACCGACACTGTTGCTGGGTGCTTGGCAGTCTGCCGCTGTTCATTCTGCGGAGGGCCACCTTCAAGGACCCAATGTATCCTTCGATCATGTTCGTGGACACACGAAACCGAGCACTGTTCTGGGAGCTGGAAGACCTCGCTTCCAGACGTCGCCGCAGTCTCTCCGTCAACGTTGCCAACGGAAGCTTAGCAAAACGGCTGTACTGCTTTGCGGAGTGGTTGCAACTTAGCAAGGGCTGCTCCTGCAACAAAAGACAAAGTAACAAGCACCTAAAACACGCGGCTTCTGCTTTCATCTGCTGGACAGGGACTGCACTACTGTTGGGGCCTTAATGATTTGAATAGAGTGATGGGGCCCATGGACGTCTATCAATATTATGGTAAAGATCCTATAGTAGAGTTTTTGGTTAACCACAAAAAAGGAACTATAATGGAGACTATAGGAAGGACCTAAGTCTACATAGTTTAAGGAAAGTGTTTACGCTGCAGTGAAACTCCCACAAAAACGACGTCCTCCAGACAAGGAAGACGATGCGCAGACTCGTTGGCTCGGGCACCGTCCGTGAAGTGCATGCATCCACCTCGCAATTTCTCCTTCAGTGGCTGCCCAATGTCCTTCATGCTGTCAGGAGGAGGTCGGCCTCCAGCTTTCACGGCTCTATCCCGCAGAGGCACGAGGATTGGACGCTTTCTGCCGGCTTTGGTGTCCCTGCTTGCCATCACAAGGAACCGTCCCTCATGAACAACTTGGTCATCCCGCTTGCGCTTCCTGGTCGAGAAGAGGTCGCTTTCCACGTCTTCGTCCTGCAACTTTCTGAATCCCAAAAACAACAAATGCCAAAACAAACAAAACCTTACAACTCACTACTATGCCATGCCCCAGACACTGTCCTCAAAGAATGACTGCTTCGCGAAGACGTACTCAGCCAAAGCAGTAACAGTCTTAAAGTTCTCGTACAACGTCTCTGCAACTTTGTGATTCATGCCTGCCAGATGCTGAGCCGCATCACAAGGAACACCGAGACTGAAACAGTATGCAGCATCCAACACCATGCGTGCATCCCGTGGCTTGTGTCGTGGCCCTGTGTAAAGCGGCGAATATGGAAGGAGGCCGTTGTCATACTTGACAGAGCACCGACCACACCGCAGCTTCTGGCCCGCACGCAAAAAGCCTCTGCCGCACTTCCAGCAGTGTCTTTTACGCAACATCGGCAGCATGCCCAACTTCTGAAGCTTCTGCACACCTGACGCTTCTGTAAAAGCCCGCGCACTCATCAAGCAAGGTTGTTTGAGCGAAACTAATGTTCTCCCTCGGGCTCGCACATTTTGCTCCAAGTAAGCAGGTGCGAACTTAGCCAACAGAGCATTCTGCGGCTTCTCCGGCGTCGATCCATTGTACAAAGGACATTTGACACTATCTTTTCTATGTCCCACCTGCTGACATCTACTGCAGCGGTGTGGACGATCCTTGTCCTTGCTACGCCGCATCTTGGACCGCGACGGCTGTCATGGGACATCATGTTCATCCAAGAACTCTGCGACCGGCGTCGCACCAGGGGGGCACGGCCTAGTAGTAGTAGTAGTAGTAGTAGTAGTAGTAGTAGTAGTAGTAGTAGTAGCACTAGCAGTAGCACTAGCAGTAGCAGTAGCAGTCCCGTTTCTTACCAAAATATGTGCACAGAGCCATGACTGCTTTTGGGCAGGACTCCTCATTGTTCTTCGTGTGGGTAGCTGCGGCCTCAGCATACAGGTGTCCCTTCAGTGCAAGCAAAGCCACATAATTAATTTATTTGTTTATTCAAGTTCAGATTGGGTTTCAGCCCCAGCCCCGGCCCTCGCCTCGGACTCCTGCGGCTTGCTCTCTGTGGATCGTCATTTGCTGCCCAGAGCCTTGTGTAGACTAACATTAAGATGGGGATGGAATTCCCGTGTGATGTCAATACATACCCCTCCAAGATTATCTACTACAGTTACTACAGTAACATTACTGCCATGTGGAACCCAGCGGACCCCGACATGGTACAGCTGCGGCTGCAGAATGTGGCGAGCATTCAGCAAGGCTTTCGCAGCCCTTGTCGCTGATGGATCTGTCGTGACCTGGGGTGATATTACCTATGGCGGCAACTCAGGTTTTCGTGACATACAATGGCAGCGCAGCAAAACAAAAGGCCGTCACAGTCTGAGCTCTTGATTTAGACTGGGGTCCGCCACATGTGCCGTCCATGTGTGTTCGCCGGCGTTGCCCAGGTCCAGCTCTTTGTTTTGTGATTATGATCGGCCTCCTGATGAGCTTCGCAGTGGCGGGCAGGCTTGCTGCGTGCATCAATGGGCTGAGGCTTGTATGTGGGTTGCTTTGGTACACGTAGCTTCGGACCGTAGTTTTCGGTGTGCTGCTGTCTTTGTTGTTGTTGCTGCTGGCCTCTCCTTCCTGTTCTCACCCCGCCCTTTGCAATGCTTCAGGTCGAGTTTTAGTAAAACCGAAAATTCTATAGGTTCTATAGATCCTGTATACTGTAAGCACATGTCGGATTGTTGCGGGTCCCCTGAGCGCTGGTATGTGTCGGAATGTTGCATGTCCCCTTGTCAGAATAATAGAATCGGCCTTCTTGGTTCCGTGCAAGGGTGGCTGTGCGTTCAGGTGCTGTAGCTCCCGTAGATGAAGCTAGGAGCATGGAAGCTGCAGGATTTTCATGCGGAGGGTTTGTAGGAGTATTGTGGGCAGTACCTCCAGCCAATCCTCGCCAGAGAAGCTTTGAATTCCACATGAAACATGCTACCATGCAAAAATTGCTGCCGTTTGAAACGGGTTGGGTTAGCTTTGTCTGCCTTCATTCCTGTTGGGTGGTAGCTGTTTGCCGCCTCAAGTTTTCAGCAGATCTCAGCAGTTTCCACTCTGCCGCCATGAGTGGAGACACACCCAGCGAGGGGCCCGAGAAGCAGCTGCTGATTCAGCTAAGGCAGGAGAAGAGGCAGAGGATGATCCACGGCATAAAGAACACTGAAGCTTATCAGACTTACTTGCTCGCAAAGTCATCATTCAACGGCACAGAGGACTGCGGGGACGGCAGTCCAATGAGCCGACCTGAGACTCCAGTTGCGGATGGTGCAAAACCCAAGCGGGTCTGGGAAGGCGAGGCTTTCAACTGGCGGCGCAAGCTCCGTGAATGGTCTAGCAGAGTCGCAGACCGTGCAGCTTCAGAAGAGTAGAGCGTGGATTATGAGGCGTGCAGCTACACAAATTTGATAGTGCGTGCTGCGTTGCAATCGCGACGTCGCAAAGTTCCAGACGTCGCTGAGGGAGAGCAGCAGAAAGGAAAAGAACTACTAGTAGTAGTAGTAGTAGTAGTAGTAGTAGTAGTAGTACTACTACTACTACTACTACTTCTACTACTAGTACTGCTACTACTGCTACTAGTACTGCTACTACTGCTACTAGTACTGCTACTACTGCTACTACTGCAAGTACAAAAGCAACAACAACAACAACAACTACTACTACTCCTCCTCCTACTACCACTCCTCCTCCTCCTCCTCCTCCTCCTCCTCCTCCTCCTCCTACTACTACTACTACCACGACTGCTACTACTACGACTATCACTACTATGGGTCGTAGTATTGTCTTATTCTTGTTTTGGACACGGTGTCGTTTTTTTTCAAATGCCAGAAAATACACATCACAAAACAGCAGACCTCAGTTACAAACGGACAGAACCTCAAATACGACGAGCAATCCACAACCCCTGACCCAAACCGTTAATTAAACTTCAAATCCAAAACCCAAGTCCTAAGCCCGAAGCCCTCGGCTATTATAAACAATCAGGCGCCCCGAACCCCAAGCCCTGCTTAGCACCCACCTCCAAAGCCACACCCACACCCATGCCAACCACAGTTCAGAGTCAGCGTTTCTTTGCACTGGTCGTAGATCTCTTGGCAGTGAAACTTCTCAGACCATTTCCTTTCCCTTGTGCCGTACCAAGCCGGCTCTGCGCTTGGCCTTTCGCCAGGCATTGCGGCTGCAATGCTGTTTTGCTGAGTGGGTCTGGGCCCCAGCTTCGACTCGGTCATTCTCTTGGAGATTGACTTCGGGTGGCAGGGTTCCAGAGCTCGATGCAGGTTCCTGGATAAATGGTTTCTCCAGCTCAGCCACTCTAGCACCGCCAGGCATTTCAGCCAGATGGCCTTTTACATCAGCTGAAGTTATGCCTTCCGCAAGACCCGGGTCATGTTCTGCTGCGCATGTAGACACGTGGTGCTCGGAAAAAGCTTCTGCTGAAACTTTCTCCAGAGAGCCAGGGCCGCTACGGTTCGCAACCTCCGGCAGGACTTGTGGAGTCGATCCCTCAGTCTGCCCAGATGATCGCTGTGCCTTGAAAGGTGACCCAATTGAGCCAAATTCCAGAGCGGCAGTTAGCTCATCTTCTGCAGCATGTGTGTAGTGCTTCACAAAGGTGCCCACATCTGTTCGCTGCTGCAACTCTAGTATAGCGGTTTGACTCGGAGCCTTCTGTGTAGAATTGGGGTTGGTCATCAGCAGGGCAGCATTTGTGTGACGTGTGGCTCCGTGCACGTGAACATGCGCCCCCAAGAAGTCAGGATTGAAGCACCGTCGTCCAGTGACTTTATACAAGAAGTCTCTGGTGACTCTCACTCCATGCCAGATGCTTTGCCTTGTGCGCCAGGGCTGTTTTGACTTGCGGGCTGCTGGGAACCACAGTGCGTCCTCTTCGAGTGGGGCAGGCCGGAATGTGCTTCGACAGAGCGGTTTCACCTTGTCGAAGAGAGCCTTGTGTTTCTCTCTGTGCTCCTCTAGAACAGGCAAGCACTCCCAACAAAGACCATCTTTCAACAAACCCCGGATAGAGTCCACCACGCAGTCACCAATGCGTGCAATGGCCAAGCCTTCTGCTACCTTTCCAAGGCCCGGAAGGTCTTCTTCATCCTCTCGACACTCAATGACAATGTGGGCAAAATCACTGTGGCCACCCCCAGACAACACAAAGTCTCGGCCACGAAGCTTCAGCACCTCAGATATCCTGCGACCAGTCACCATGCCAAGGTAGAGAGCCACTGCGTACAGAGGCCCGGCCACGAAGACCAGGGCAGCCAGCCACAAAGGCACATCCTTCCTTTGAACGAACACATGCTGGGCTCTGGAAATCGAAAACCTCACGCCAAAGTTCCATGGTTTTGCCTTGCATCCAGGCTTGCTTCTCTGCTGACTCTTCTTGTTCTTCTGTTGTTCATCTTGCTGACCCTTCTTGTTCGCTCTCTTGCACACGGGCATGCTGCGACTTCCCGCGGCAGCTTTCACGGCAGTGCCCTTTCGGCCATGGGCAGAAGAAGATCTGCCAGGCATGGCGGCAGTATCCAGAATCTAGAAACCTGTGCTCTGTCTCTGTGTGCGTGCACGCGAAGTCTGATGCTTGATGTTTCCATGCAACATGACAAACTTTGTTTTAACTTGCTTGCACCCTTATACTTTCTGCATTTCCTTCGGACATAGTGCGCACCCACACGTCGCGTTGTAAATGTCATGAGCCATGACTGAGACCAACCTAGACTTTCAACGAGAAGAGACATGTTAAAGCAAGTCTGAAAGACTCAAAGCAAGGGGTTGCATGTGGGACTTGCAACAGACCCGCACAGGACTTGGGTTTGGACAGACAGGAGTGGCTTGGGTGTCGCGAATGTTCAGTTGTTGTTTTTCTCTGGGGTTGGTGGCATTGGACATGTCTTCGGCGTTGGTGGCGTTGGGGTAGCACTTTTCGACATTTGCACTTGTTGCTCTTGCTGCTGGAGTTTGTTCTGCTGCGGGGGCACGCGTGACCAGCAAATCGCAGGGGCCACTCCTGACAAGCTACAGGGGCCACATTGTGACCAGCAAACTGCAGCAAGCCAGGGGTGAGCCAGCAAACTGCGAGGGCCAGCGCACCTGCAAACCGCAGTTGCTGTTGGCTGGTTTCCATTGTGGCTGTTGCAAATGCCGGTTTTCCTGTGCTTGGGGAGCATGGGTGGCAATGCCCCTTTGCTCTTCTTCCCTTTGCGAGCCTAGCCATCCTTGACACGTCAAAGCCTGGGTTCCTGTAATAGGCCTCATTTTGAGTTGGGTTGCATGTGGGTCTACGATCGGTCTCTTCTTTGGCCTTTCACTGTTTATCGAAGGCAGACAGGAAGGTAGTTAGGCGTTTGACATGTTTCAGAGGCAGACAAGGCACAGACTGTTCGTAAAGCTTGCGGGGTCATGGAAGGCTTGCATACTGCATCCCGGGCTTCAGTGCAAAAGCAATGCAGAAAACACTGCGCCAGCTTACTGCGCATGCTAGAATGAACACTACCCAAGCGTTATAATCAAAAGGCCTGCTCCGTTCTGCCCATTGCCACAGGTGTCTGCATGCACTCTCAGTGTGGGGCCCAAGAAGAACAGTCTGCCTGTTGGCAGAGGATGGGAAGGTTGCTTGTTCTCAGCACGGGCAGGAGCTGTGTGCCTTGCATGTGACCAAGTAGACAGAGACGACGGAGACTTCCTCGTGACACGCTTCAGTTTCATTACTTGCTGCCCGCAGTGCTGTTCTTCAAGACCACAGCTGCATAAGCTGAGCCACCCGCCGGCCGTGCATCGCTGCTGCTCATGGCGTCCTTGTTCCTCGACGAAGACGACATCTTCGGCTCTGACCTCGCCAGCAGTGCTATGCCGGGCTTGGCGGACTTTAAGGAGGTCGAAGCACGTGCGCACTTGGAGGCTGAGATGCCCGGACTGGAGGAGTTCGACTTGGGAGAGAAACCGAAGAAGGTTGCCAAGACGGAGGGTGCAGTCCGCACGGCCGAGATCACCGCGGACAAGCACAAGATGCCCCAGATCAAAGCGGACCAGCATGAGATGCCCGGACTGGGGGAGTTCGACTTGGGAGAGAAACCGAAGAAGGTTGCCAAGACGGAGGGTGCAGTCCGCATGGCCGAGACCACAGCGGACAACGACAACGGTGAGGTGCCCGCGATCACAGCGGAGAACGGTGACATGCCGGAGATCACCGCGGACACGCACAAGATGCCCCAGATCAAAGCGGACCAGCAGGAGATGCCGGAGATCCCGGAGATCACCGCGGACACGCACAAGATGCCCCAGATCAAAGCGGACCAGCAGGAGATGCCGGAGATCAGAGCGATCCAGGACGAGATGGAGGAGAAGCCAAGATGCCGGAGATGGAGATGCCGGAGGTGAAGCTGGACTGCAAGAAGCCTCTGTCGGGGGTGCAGGAGAAAGAGGCTGCCCACGCAAAGCCACCCCGGGGTTCCAAGAACACCTTTGCGGGGCGGACGCCACCAAAGAATGCAGAAGCCAACGAGATTTTTTTCTTGATCAAGGACGGCTATGCAAAACTCAAGAAGGACTATCCGAAATCCAGCCTGCTCAACCAGAAGACTTTCATGTACAAGATGGACTCCGTGCTTCGAGGGAACTCTGGCAAAAAGACACCAAGGCCAGGACGGGAAGTCGTCGCAGATGTCATGACAGAGATGAGGTCCAAGCTGAGCCGCTGTGAACCTGCAGGTGCGAGCTGAGTTCTTGCACAGCAAAGGTTTTTGAAGCCGGGAATCATGGGGTGCATCCACGGCTTTCTTATGGAAAACGGAGGGCAGCAGCAAGACTTTAAAACCACGCGCAAGGTTTTGTTTGTGTTGCTGTTGGAGTGGGGGGGCCTAGGGGTTAATGAATCGTAATGAAGTTTGAGCAATACTTTGGGAGTACGTGCAAAGCTTTCGTGTTTTGCTATAAGCGCATTAGAACCCATTATCCCCTAGGCCCCCCCACTCCAACAGCAAGGCTTTGGAAGCACGTACAACGTTCTAAAGTCTTGCTTCGTGGCCCTGCTTGCCCTGGTTGCCAGGGCCGATATCAGCATTTGCAGCAGCCTTCGCCCTTTGCGCTTACTGGGTCTGATCAGCAAACCATAGCATTTGACTAGCATTTCGGCCCGAGAGCGGCATTTGAGAGAGCATTTTCAGGCTTATAAGATCGCTGAGACCCCCTTTCTTTCGGCGACAGGCGATAGTGTCTGCAATGCAGAAGCTTCGCACGGCTGTCATCGCACGCTACACTCCGTGGGGGAGTGACGAGGACGCCACTGTCCCGGACGTCACCGATGTGTTGAACAGTTGGAAGCCCGGTGGTGCACCGGAGATCGCTGCTGCTTTCACAGCCCTCGAGCAGCGACTGAAAGACGTGGACCAAGCCTGGCATCCAGTGAAGTGTCAGGCAGTGCCAGCTGTGCCACACGGTGCAAGCACGGGTGCGCCGGTGGTCCTCAGCTGTCTTGACCTGGGTTTCCAGGAATCAGACTCTGTGCGCGGAAAGTCCAAAATGGTCAACGTTTTGGAGGTCGCGTTCTCCTATATGGACACCCGCCGCTTCGACTCCATGCGCTCGCCGCTGAGTGTGTTCTTCAGTGATCCTCCGGGGACTCTGCTGACCCCCTTCTGCGCCAAACACGTCGTCGGCTTCGGCCGCTCGCTTGCAGCAAAGATGCTGGTCATGGAAGCCTGTATCCTGGAGCCGACCCTGACAGATGAGGAAATGGGAGAGCTCAGCTCGCTGCTTCAGTCTTGCTTTGACGTTCATGCTGTTGTCATGGGGCCTGCCGGCTTCAAAGATATTGGCTATGCATCCATGAGGAACAAGTTCCAAGTGAGCGAATCCGTGCGGCCTGATGTCTTGCAGCTGTACCACGTGCTCTCGGGCATCGTTGCACAGCCGACCCAGCAGGAGCTGAAGCAGGCGATTGCAGAGTTCAATCGTTCATCCTCCGTGGCCGGCCACCGAATCAGCGACCTGGAAAGCAAGGTTGTTACCTTTCTCCCCGACCAAACAGCTGAGTTCGGCCGGAAGCTGGAACAGCATTGGCAGAACTACAAAGTCGCGGAATCGGCCGTGCCAATGAAATTTTTCACCCTGCTTTTCTCCGGACCAGGCGACAAGGTGGCAGAAGCTCGGTCTGAGCTTTGGGCCAGGATCTTTTGTGGAAGCGCCCTCAAGAACGAAATGGCTCTTACCTATGCCATCGGCATCTTTCACAAGAACCTGAAGGACAACAGCCGGCACTTGAAAAAGAAAGTCAACCTCAAAGTGCAATCGGCCAAGTTCCGAATTCAGGATCCAGTCCTTGGCTTGAAGCTCTCCTGTGTCTTCGTCGAGTTCCGCCAGGAATGGGCCAAGATGTTGGATAGCAAGCAGCTTGCCGTGATGGATAAGATGTTTTTGAGAGGCGCCCTCGACCGGGAGCTTGGGGACGCCCTGAAGCTTCAGGACGCCGATGTCAAGGCCAACTCCTTCAGTTTTCTCCAGGCCGTGACCGGCCAGGTCACGGACACACAGAAGCTCGAGCAAAGCATCGCGCAGGCGGAGATGACAACCGAAACAGCACAGTTTGGATTGTTCACTGCACGCTTGCACAGAGAGCAGCAGCTGTTTCTTTGCGCACAAGAAGGCTGTGAACGACTACGAGTTGCTGCAAAAGAACGGCCGGCAAAGCCATGTCCTCATGCAGGAGGAGAAGATGAGAAGTCTTGCAGAAGCACGTCTCGAGAGCCGCTATCCCATGAAGGTTGTCCAAGAATGCCACGTCTACCCCTGATTCGGCGCTTGCGTTGCCGGTCTGTCTGACACCTTGGCCTTGAACGCAGAAAATGCCTACCACATATTCTTCTGCAACCTGACCCACTTCGGCTCCAACTTCAATGCCCATGTGCAGGGGATCACGAGGATCATCGTCGACGGACTTGCCGCCAATCCGGCCAGGACCAGGACCGATTCTGCGGTGTTTGTTTTTGTTTGTCAGGGTTTCACGTCGGCATTGCACATTGCAGCGAACAGGAGTGTGGGGCTGGTGCTGGCACCAAATGTCGGAGTGCCAGGCACCGGCCAGTACGAGGATAATGCAATTCACAAGGCCCAGGACCAGGTGGACGAGCTTCTGCGAGACTCAAGCAACCAGGTGCGAGTCAGGCGATGTGCCATCGCTTTTGCTGGGCCGCTTGGCAAGAGATCGCTGTCGCACATTCTCTGGGCGGTGATCTCTGACGTTACAAAGACTGCCGAAACAGATGAACCCATCAGCTGTTTCGCCTCGAGTGCTCTGTGGAATGGCCGACTTGTGAACAACATCACGACCAAGGCCGTCGCAGACTTCGTGATTCCCAGTATGGCATCCATGAAAGTGGGCGGAGACACGTCTTTCTCGAAGGCGCAGCAGTTCAAGCAGCATATTGCCGGGCCAGCACTGTGCCTCAGTTGTTTCTAGAAGAGTCGTGCTTTGTAGACGGGATTACCAAGGGTAATAAGAAAACGAGCCTCTGCTGTGAGAATGGTTGTATAAGGATGAGCGGCATCATGGACCAGCTCTGGAAAGGAGTCCCGCTGGGAGCGTCGGCAGTTGCCGGGTGGTTGGACTTGTGCCCTTACGACGGCGGTCTCCTGGCAGCCATGTCTACGTGTGAGCACATTGCCAATGTTTCTCAGTTCTTGCGCCTTTGCTCACGTGGCATTTGTTTCCCAAGTTGGCGAGTTGTGAAGTAGGACTGCGTCTAATAAGTGACAGTTTTGGACAAGCTGGTGGCTTATATTTCGATCCCTCTGAGTGCAACGGTGGAGAAAGTTAGCTCAAGCGGCACGCCATGCCGACAACCCCCCAAAGACCCACAGATCGAAGTGTGAGTCCATGAATCCAGGTGCTCGGCCTATTGCTTTGAGAATGGCCCGCTGACCCTGTCTGAGATGGCATTGTGGCACCAGGACTTCGGCCAGAGGTTTCTGACGGCTGCGGTGCGTGCCAGAGAGTGGAAAGAGTATGCGCCAGACGGATCGCCGCCTGTCTTCAACAGCCAGGACCTGGTGCTCACGAAAATGGTGCCCTCGGACGGCGTGCTTTCTTTGCCGCTCCGACAGGACGTTCTTTCAGAGAAAGAGCGGTGCTTTACACGGCTTGCGGACGAGTTCACGAAAGTCATCAATGAGCACAACAAGACCTACAATGTTTCCGGCGTTCCTTGGCGAGGAGACCATGCTCCTCCCGCCAGGTCCTCGGCAGATGAGACTCAGGCGGAGCCGTTTCCAGAGGAGCACGCTGTGACTGAGGAGTCCTTGAAAGCAAACGGCTCCCCTTTGGTGACTGTTCAATCCAGAGTCAGCTCAGTGCAGCTCCTCCTGAAGACAGTCGACGGGACCAAGCAGGTGTACTTGAAGAGCCTCTCCGACGGCACCGTCAGCAAGGAGGAGCCCATCTTCCATGTCTATGGGGACTACGTGACAGGAAAAGAACTCGCAGACCTGGAGAAAAACAACAAAGTCCTATGGCCCTGGAAGATGGAGAGCATGGACTACTGCCTCAGCATTGCCTCCCCCTTCGAGGATGGGTTCAAGTGCAATCTCACCACGCTGCAGAAATTCTTCGACTTCCTGGTCACGAAGGACAAGGGCGTGCCGAAGATTGTGTGCCACGAGGTGAAGGACGGTGCCATCAAGTCCACAGAAACCTGTGCGTACCAGCCGAAGCCCTTGCCAGCGAAGACAGTCGAGAGCAAGGAGAACATCGGAAGCTTGCTTCCGTTTGCCGACACAGACTGGAGCACTGGCAGTCACAAGTTTGGCTTCTTGGAGCTGAAATGCCATTTGAAGTACGAGGACTCGCCACAGAGGTCCGGTCTTTTTCCAGGGAAACCGGCTTACCATCTGAAGAAGACCTATCGCTTCTCGAAAGAGAAAGTCTATCGCATCGCCTGAGTTATGCCGGGATTTTGTACTGCAGTGCTCAATTTTGTCAGCTTCCCAAGAGATGTATAAGCAGGACTAGCAGCTAGCAACAGTATAGTCCTGAAGAATGGACAGAGCTGCAGCAGCACCGCAGACTTGGGGCATTGTGTGCCCATGCCAGCGAGTACCGACAGCAGGGACAGCCAGGAATCAACGTGCGCTGTAATCTGTAGGTGTTCCGACACTCTCTGGGGGCGTCGTCACCTGCTCGAGTGCTCATCTCTTGTGCTTCGGCTCCTCTGTGTGTGAGAGGCCGCCCGATTCTTTTCCTCCGCGAAGCATTTCAGAGATGGCCCACATGGGCAGTCAAAAGTGTGGATGTGCTGTGCTGCCGTCACCCGTGTTTCCTTTGAAGTTTCAGGCATTGCATTGCAGAGTTTTCCGTCAGATGTTTGTGTTTGTTTGCATGTCTCAATACTCAGAGGCAGCTGGGAAGCCGCTGCAAATTTTCCGGGCTCTTTGGTCCTCACCTGTGTTCGGCAATGGCTGCTTTCTTTCTGACTGGCCTGGTTGATGACAGCGTTGAGAACGAAGACAGTGTTTCTGACAAGTTTCACACACCGCAGAAGGGTCCAGATGCCCAGCTGCCTGTTGACAGCCCGCAATCTCAGGCCAAGAAGAAGGGGAAGGCGAGCAGCAACAGGAAGCCCAGAGGCAAAGACAAGACCCTGCGTGCACGCAGGGGCACCGGGGAGTCTTTTGCTGGAAGGCACGCACCCAAGCTCGGCGTGAAGGCTCGACTCTTCCATAGCATCAAGGACACCTACTGGCTTTTGCGGTCGGAGTTTCCAGCCAAACAGCTTCAACAGGCTGATTTCTGGAATTTGGTTCAGGGCTTGGTCAGGAAGGAGAAGGAGATCCTCTTGGCGAATCCAAAAGCAGGCCTGGCATCGGATCCAGAAGACATAGTGGCACAAGCTGCAGCAATGACCCGGCAGCGGCTGAGTAGCATCTAGGGCCTAGGGGAGTTGGGGTTCTTGTTCAGCTTTGTTGTGAAAGCACAGCAGCTGCAACATCAAAGCTGAGTCTCAGAATGAGAGGGGCTGTTAACTCTGACTTTGGGGCAGCAAAAAATGAGGATGCTGGCTCTTGCGACATTACAGAGGTGATAGATTAGAGGAAGTCTGTCAATCTGAGCATGTCGTGCTCATGCCTCATGCCAACTTACTTGCTTTTCATGCTGGACACAGTTTCTGCCGAGGCCAGCCCCTGGACTGGGAAGCCAAGCTCTCAGGAAAGCCCTGCGGTGTCTAGAGTCCAGAGTACGTTTGTTTGGAGGTTGCGTCAGCTGCCTGAGCGACGAAGTGTCATGTCAGAGAACGTTTTCGCTTGCAGCGGGCGTGCTGGGGAGCGGATGCAGTGACAAGATTGAGATTGAGACACTTGGATTTTGAAGACCTGTTGCAACGTAGCCTTTGATCTGCAGCCAGAGCTCTCAATCGTGTGAAAGCAGACTGCTCGTTTTGAGATGTAGCCAGCCTTGGCCTGACTTGCAGATCAAACAGTGGATAATCGAGTCCAGTAGCTAGCAGCTATAGCAGACCAGCAAGTTTTGAAAACGTCCTTGTCACAATGACGAAGCCGAATCTGTCCGTGGCACCATTCGCCGCGCTGACGGTTTTCGGCTTCACTTTGCGCTCTGCTCTGCTGGAGTATGAGAATATTCCCCGCGCAGCAGACGTCTTTGAGTGTTGGAGTGGCATAGGCAGCATCGCCAAAGCGGCAGAAGACTCCAACCTTGTGGCAACGGTCTACGACAAGTACAGACCAGGAGCAGATCCGTCCGAGGACTTGACATTCGAAGCAGGGTTTCGGCTTGCGCTTACTCGCGTGATGGCTCTGAAGCCAGGCGGCTTGGCTTGGTTCGCGCCGCCCTGTGGGACATTCACTTGGTTGGATCGCCACCACTCGAAGCGAACCAAAAGAAATCCCCTGGGAGATGAGGCTTATGCACCTGTGCGCAATGCAAACTTGCAAGCCATGGCTATGATTTTCATGGTCTGTTTGTGCCCGCTTCGCGACGTGCGGCCCGTGGCCGAACAACCGTCGCAAAGCCAAATGTTCAGACTCCCTACGATAGCCCATGTGCTCGAGAAGCTGAATCTAACATCCAGCACTTGCGCAAGGTGCTCTTTCGACGACTCAGCGTGGGGCGACCGCATCTTGAAAAGATACAAATTTGTGGGGCAGGCATGGATCCAGAACCTTTACCGGACGTGCTACTGCCCGGACGGGAAGCATAAGGAACTGGTGAGTGTGCGATATTGCAAGAAAACCAAGAAGACAAAGAAAACCGGTAAAAAGGCTCTACTCGTCCTGAGTGGGCGATATCCACCCCGCATGGGCCGCTTCGTGGTGGATGTATGGCTCGCAAACCGAGATCAGCCTGACGGGGAGGTCATTGAGAAGAAGTCCAAGAGTCCTCGTCCAAAGGGCAAAGTCAGAGTCAAGACGAAAGGTGCCAATGCAAAGGCCAAGTCCTCGCGGCAGAAACCGAAGCCAGAGGCCAGGCAAGCATCCACTTCGGAGAGCTGGAAGCAAATGGACACAGGATCCCAGCAGGACGAGCCTGCCTCCAAGCAGGTCCGTGTATCGGACTGGAAGCACATGGACTTAGGAGCAGGCGATCCAGATGAGCAGGGTAGCTTGGATACGGATTGGAGGAAGATGCTCCTGTGACTTCCCCCGCCAGGGTGCGGCAGTGCTCTGCAGAAGGGGCATTGTATTTTTGCAGGTAAAAACAAGTGCATCAGCGTGTGTCAGTCTGCCTGAGCATCTGTCACCGCACTGCGCAGCTGTGCTTCCGTTTCTTGCAAAGGTTGGACCTCGATCTCACGGCAGGCCCGCGCTTGCAGGGCATCAGCTGCAGGTTTGAGCTCCCGTCGTAGTTGCAACCCCAGCTGCCATTCAGAAGTGTTTCCTCACCCTTCTTCTGTGAAGCAGCGGTTTCGGCACGATGTCATGGAAGCGTCAGAACCCAGGGGAGCTTTCAGCAGAGGACCAGGAATGGAAAAGAATGTGCGTTTCAGATTCGGACATCTCGCGTGGGCAGGACAAGGTCCCTGGGTCGTCTTGGAAGATCATGTCTCTCCAAGATGATTTTCCGGAGGCAGAATGCACAAAGGACAGCTGGCAGATCATGACCCCCGGTGAGGACACAGGTGCCGACTCACAAAGTCGGTCCATTTCGGATTTGCGAAAGCGTGCGAAACATGTCATATCTTTTGATCTCGCGACCATGAACTTTTTGAAACCACGAGAGTCTCAGAAGGACCCAAGTGTTTATGCGACCAGAGCTGTGGACAAGGACCGTATAAAGACCCTCTTAGCCAAGGAGACATGCAGTTGCAAGGCTGAGTGCTTCAAGCAGTTCCGGCTTGACGAGGTAGCCAAATTACGGGAGTTGTGGCATTCACTGGGGAATGACTCACAGGAGCAATATGTGCAGTGCCAATATGCAGAGAGCCAATCTTCAGGGGCACAAGATTTGCGAGAGACGTCGACGCACAGGACGAACTGGCATGTGTTGGGCCGCCCAGTTTGCTGCAAAGCAGCTGCGTCCCTGCTTGGTTCATCTGTTAAAACTCTACAAAGGCGATTACAGGGTATGCCAGATTTGCGACGGGATCGGGGAACGCCGACACGTGTCCCTGTCAAGCGAAACCTCTTAGATGTTTTCTTTGCTGAGCTGTACCACAGCACTGCCGAGCATTTGCCAGAGAAGCATGCAACTGAGAACTTGGATTACCGACGCAGAAGCTAGCACCTTTGCATGGGCGCCTGAGAGCTGTTTGTTGGAAGCGTTCTCAGCGCCAGGTTGCACCGATGCAAGCACGCCGAAACGGATGCTTCCACCCGGCAGCCCGGTGCACCTGTACTGGCAATTCCAGGCTTGGTGCCAAGCTTTAGATGGGCTGAGTGCTGACAAGCCTGAGAAGGCACCATCGTGGAGCACATTTTACCGGAGCTGGTCAGAGAGATGGAGTGGTTGCCTTGCTTTTCGAAAAAAATCACAGCATGTCGACTGCCAGGAATGCTTTGAGTTTCGGGAGTTGCTACATTCGCGAAGTACGCCTCAGGAGACGAAGCTTCAAAAGGCGAAAGAATGGCAGCAACACTTGCGGGCTCAATATGCAGATCGCCTCTTGTATTGGGGGATAAGACTCTCAGCCAGGCAAGGTGCAGGAGTTTTGTCCCTGGTGGTCGATTCCATGGACCGCTCGAAAATAGTTTTTCCACGTTACAACTTCGTCAGTGGGAAAGTGCCACCCAGCCTCGACGGTTTCCACCGTCCAGGCCTGGTGTTGACTGGAGTCATAGTGCATGGCTTCTGCACTTGCCTTTTTTTGCAATATTTACACTATCCACACGGCGCATCTTTTAGTTGCGAGGTCATCCTGCGGGCAATCGACTGTGCCAGAGAGGTGGCCAGAAGGCGTGGCACGGTGCTACCAGAGCACCTGTGCATTCAGAGCGACAACACGACAGCACAGACGAAGAACAGCGTATCGATGTTGTTGGCATCATATTTGACTGGGTCCGCCCGGTTCATGACGACAACATGCAACTACCTCGGACGAGGCCACACCAAAGAGGACATCGATCGGTTGTTCAGCTGCGTCCTGACAAAAGTATTGAGACCTTTCAAGTGGCAAACACCTGGGCAGTTCATGAACCTTCTGCAATCTGAGTTGGGTCCCATGATCCGTGCCAGAAATGAAGAGCTCTTTGTACAACAGGTTCACCACATACGCGACTTTGACTCTTGGCTTGGTGGTCTCGGCGTACACTTGAGTGGCACTTTTCTGCCAACACGGGATGGCCCCGCAGCTCACTCTTTCACCTTCAATGTGCGTTCAAGCCTATCTCTAAGAGACCAGGCAAGGATTCTTCAAAGAAGGGGAGCTCCCAGGCCAGATCCGGATGATGTGTTTTGTCTCACAAAGGCTCGGATGCATTCCACTGAGACA